CTTCCTTCCATACTATTAGTAGAACAGCATCCTCCAAGCTCAGTCTGCCAACACCTTGCCACCTCTCAACAGTTTCCATTGCCTGAGGCACCTGTCTCACTCTGCCCAATGGTAGGGCCGACTTGCCACTTTTCTCTCTTCTCCCATTCAGGGCTGGATTTAGGTTTGATGAGGCCCTAAGCTACTGAAGGTAATGGGGCCCTTTATATGTCCAGCTGTCCTTTGTCAACAACAAATTGTCACTGTTTTTTGTGTTGAATATATGCTATATGGGAATTTGTGGACCTCATAGGTATCTAAAGCCATTTGCAACCAGTCCACACAGAATGTAGGCACCCTATTTATAGAAATGAGCAAACCAGTGATATTTTAGGGAGCAGGCTAGCAGGTGGAGCCCATTACTTACATCACAGGAGCCTACACAACACAAAACACTGTTGCTGTATGTAGGTTTTATTTGGTTTTTTTAATCTTATATTTTGGAAATGTACATCCAGTCCCCTGCCCCTTTGTTTATCCGGCACTGCTCCCATTGTATGGTTTTAAGGAGGTGCCTTAGATGCCCTGTTTGAGTCCTCTTCTAATGTCCTTAGGGATGAGGAACCCATTCTACAGATCTTTGAACATACAGCAATAAGCTGCATAGTTGCAGCTGTGTGCCAGGACCATTCAACAACAACAACAACAACAACAACAACAACAACAACAACAACAACAACATATCATTTATTCCTCAGCCACTCTGGGCAGCTTCCAACAAAACGCTAAAATACAATAACCTATTAAACATTAAAAGCTTCCCTAAACAGGGCTGCCTTCAGATGTCTTCTAAAAGTTTGGTAGTTATTTTTCCCTTTGACATCTGGTGGGAGGGTGTTCCACAGGGCGGGTGCCACTACCGAGAAGGCCCTCTGCCTGGTTTCCTGTAACTTGGCTTCTCACAGCGAGGGAACCGCCAGAAGACCCTCGGCGCTGGACCTCAGTGTCCGGGCAGAACGATGGAGGTGGAGACGCTCCATCAGGTATACTGGATCCGGTCTAACAAAACCACAGCATATTACCGGCACAAACCTTTGTAGTGCAGTGACTTACACATACCGAACTGCACCATTGCATATTATTAGCACGAAGTTTATACTACATACTTTTGTTTCTAGTGTTCCTGCTGAACGTTTACATCGTCACTAAATACAGACTCAGATGAAGTCAGCTGCAATGCTCTGTGGGACATTGCTTGCATAGACCTGCTGCTTTCATAAAAGGAAGTGCGGGAAAATCTGTGTGAATTTATTTTCTCTGAAGGAAATGACACATGAGAAGCTGTCTTCCAGGCAGCTTTGTATTTCTCACATTCTAGGTGAAGTAATAAAAGGCTGAGTTTGAATGTAAAACAACAACAACTCCCTGAGACTATTTCAGAAGCTACATTGTTATGAAACAATGACCTAATATATGTCTTACTGTATTATTTTAGGATGCACTTATGAGTCATAATGCGTATGAAGTCTTGCCCTGTGGACATCATGGAATTTTTGTTCCTCCCACTTTTTCTTTTCTAAAGCAGAGCTACTTCGGTTGCATGTTTGCAACAGCCAAGCATTTTGAGGAAAGGTGCACATTAATGATATTACTTAATAAAGGAACTAATTTGGCTTTAAAATGTTTAAATAGATTTGTGTGATAGCAAAGCCTGAATATGGACACAGCTTTGAGATATTGAAAGAAATGGAAAACATTGTATAAGACAGTGTTATGGGTTTGCAAGGGGCAAGGATTCTGTATAATTTCTGGGTGCCAAGTTAGCCCCATAATTTCTGAAATTAGTAAATGTGGGGTTTGAAGTCAAGCCAGCTTCCTAGGGAGCTGGGCTTAGAGAGGTACCATCAACGGCAGGTGAGGACAGAGTCATTTCCCTGCACTGTAAATCTCGTGCACTGCCAAGGAGGATGTGGCTCCTAATTCCCAGTGTAATCCTGTATCCGCTCAGAAATGGGTCTCAGGTACAGGATTGCAACCTAAGATTATTCATATTGGCTTCTTCAAGCATGCAAGCATCCAACTGCACTGGGGTCATTGGTGCACCAATGGCAGTCTAAGAGCAATTGACTACACAATTAAAAACCCATCAAGTTAAATAAGAAAGTTCCTCTCCAGCTTCTAAGCCGCAATATTTGTCCCCTGTCCTTCGGATGGGATGTCACTAGAAAGCTGAATAATATTTTCAATACCTTTTAGACAGAATTAATTTAATTCTGTTTTGTTCTTTACGATTCCTAATTATCTCATTGCTACGTTTGAGGTTTCCAGATGGCACAAAATAGGATAAACGGTGTAGGGAAACTTCCTTAAAAGCATGCTACTCTGACTGATATTGTCATCCCTATAATATCTGTTTAGTTCAGTGTAATTAAATAGCAAGGAAGACACTACCAATTTCATGATATTTCAGCTTTGGGGAAGGATAAGCAGCAATATCCAGAATCTAAAAAAGGGAAATAAATAATTTAAAGGGAAAATGTTACTAATTGTTATTCAGATTGTTGCAGAGGGTACATTGGCTGCCTCAGACTAAACTGAAAGGCATATATATACCATGCAAAATGCATTTTGTGTACTGAATGTTTCTACTGCAAATTCCAGGCTAAGAGTCTTGGGCAGGTAATATTAAATCCGGGTCAATCAACACCTGAAGGGGCAATCAACAAAATGGAGAGGGGAGCAAGACTGTACCTGCTGGCACTCTTCCTAAGCTCCAGCCATTGATTATAATGCCATGCTTCATGGAAAGCTGTCCCTGAATTAGTCTGGCCCAACTCATAGCCGCGGACATGCCTTGGACCTGGTGTTCACCTCATGCCACTGCCCAGAAGGCCCTCTGCCTGGTTCCCTGTAACCTCACTTCTCACAGTGACACCCTCCCTGTGGAAAAGACCCTGATGTTGGGAAAACAAGATTTCATTAAAGCTTTTTTGTAATACAATAGAAACACCTTACCTGTAGAAGTTAAGCAGGAACTATCCTAGGCTTCTTTCAGACTTGTCCTGAAAACTGCGCTGTTTAGACAGGAGTTCACAATATGAATGTTTCTTTTAACCAACCGTTATCTACTGGTGTTCCAGTTATGTTTTGAATTATGCTTCGTGGATATTTATTGACTGGTTTTCCTGCCTTTCATCTGTTGTAAGCCACCTTGTTCTATTTTATGGAAAAGGAAGATTATAAATTTTCAAATTAAAATAGGGATAGAGGATGCTGCATATACCTTCCTTGCATTCCTTGGAGCAAGAGTGAAGTAAAAGGTACCTGTTTCAGGTGTAAGCATTAAGATTGCATGTGAGTCAGAAGAAAGTATACCTCAGCTATTAGGAATTTTGGGAAAGGTGGAGTTGAGTAGCAGGGGTAGCTAATGTGATGCCATCCAAATATTGTTGGAATACAACTCCCATCATCTCTGAATATTGGCCATTTTGCCTGGGGCTAATGGGAAGGCCCTGAAGGTTCCCCATCCCTGGTATATAATATCTAGAGCAGGTATAGGCAAACTCGGCCCTCCATATGTTTTGAGACTACAATTCCCATCATTCCTGACCACTGGTCCTGTTAGCTAGGGATCATGAGAGTTGTAGTCCCAAAACATCTGGAGGGCCATGTTTGCCTATGCCTAATCTAGAGGTATAGAGTTTCTAGAGGAGCTATAATGTGCCGAATATATGACCTATTGGTTTGTGGACTTCCAAATTCCAAGCGATAATGTCAGCTTTTCACAAGCTATTCTCATATCAAACCATTGGAGAGTTACAGCGCCTGCTGTGGCTGTAGAGACCGATATGGAAGACCCATGTTTCATTGCAGCTGGGGTAGATGAAGGTATCCAGTTGTGCGTTTGCAGGTGCGTCATGATGCTTCTTCATTCTGCGCTCCTCCCAGTAGTCATTCATCCTCTGGCCACTGCTGTAGATACATGACCTGATTGATTGTCTCCAAGCACTGTGCTTGTCTTCCAGGGATTCCCACATCCCTGTGGGGTAAGCAGTGGAACTCTCGATGTATATGTCTTCTCCTGAGCATAAGCACATCAGGTGTATACCCAAACTCTATCCTCCTCGATTTTTCAGGATAGCCTTTGATCTTACTCTGCACTGAGACGGTCAGGCAGGCAGGATGGAATGCAATGATCACAATGTGATAGCAAATGGAGAATGTGTGGATATGACTGGGTGAAGATATCTCTAAAGCAAGATTTCTACATCCTACACAGACCATTGTTTGTGCTGGAGGGGAAGAAAAATCTTAAGAACATGCCTTGGTGGATCAGACCCAAGAACTGCATAGTCTAGCCTTCTGTCTCCCACTATGAACTGCGAGATGCCTCTGCAGGACATGGAGGTGATAGGCAACCCCCTCTCTTGCTTGACTCTAGCATTTGGTATTGACAGGGACATTGCCTCTGCATATTGAATTCTAGCAGAGGTTTACACCGATGTGATCAGACAGGTGAGTTTAAGATGACAAGATTGCTGGCTAATATCTAATTCCCCATTCTCTCTTTTCAACCAGATGGCACTTTTGTTTTCCCAACAAGCACGTCCTCCCCTCTCCATCAGAGAGCAGATTTTAGGAGCCAAATCAAAAGTCAGCGTAAGCTTTGCCTTGTTTTTAAGGCAGCATTTAAAAACCATTACCTTGTGTGCACTGGTCTGACATCTGTTTCCATGGAAGCGGAACTGGTAATGGAAGCAGCCCACTAGAAGATGAGTCAATTTTTGCTGCTGTATTTTTTCCCCCCTTCTCACTTCTGTTTCCATGGAAACAGATGTTGGACAAGTGAAAAGGATGGTAGGATTAAAAAAAACAATAATAATACACGCGCACATGCAGACACACACAACCATGTCTGGACGTTACCAAAAGCACCTTTCTTTCCCCGCCCCCTATATTTCCATCAGCTTACAAGCAATTCTCCCAGAAAGACAGGTGACAAGGTACTGACAATAATTATGCACTTTTATAGGCTGTAGCAGCTGCTCCTGCAAAGAGTGCAGCGTTGAGCCACAGAATCTCAGCATCAGGTTGTCTCATCATGTCTGCAGCATCTGAGAACACAAGCAGTACGGAGGAAGGCTTCTGCTGAGAATACTTTCAAATAAATGTTTCTTTAAAAAACAACAACCACGCACACCATGCACACACATTTTTATTTAATAGCCAATTATATGTTAATTCTGTTCATGCTTTGTTTCCCCTGTCCCAACTTGGAAGCTCAAATAAGAGAAACCCCCAAATATGTCAATTAACGCATAACAGCAGGATTTATTCTGTTTTAATCAAAAACAGAAAAATCTGTTCAGGGTTTCCCCCCAGTTCTCCAGAGAAGATTTGAAGATTGTCAATTTTTCTCTTCCTCATTTGACCATTTCCTAATGCAATTTATTTTCTCATTAATTGGTGGAGAGTAGTAGGGGGGAAATACGATTTTTCTAGGCACGCCACTGGTGTAGACACCCCCCACAAATTATTGACACTTGTTTCATTCAACCCTCCTCCCCAATTGGACAGATTTTTAGCATTTTGAAAGTCCAGCCCAGCACTATTACACCATTATATAATGCCCCCCTGGTAACAAAATATATTTAGACTAAAGGCATTTGCTGTTATTTAATAGCCCCTGATAAAACTTGGGAAGTCACTGGAAACTCTTTGGAATTCATCATGAATCTGATTTTTAATAGTCGGTGGAACCAAATGGTATTTTCATTAAAAACATAGGTGCCTTTCCTCCCTCCTGGTCTTTAAGTCAATAAGACAAGGAATAACTGACTACCACTCAAATAGTAAAGAAAATGAACACACATAGGACAGTTGCCTCCAAATTGCCCATAGTGGTCCATTCATGCTTTGAGAATTGTATCAAACTAAAGGGCCTGGATCAATAGCTGCAGACATCTATTAATATTAATTTGAAATAGCTTGTACCAAAGCTGATCTTCTGCTGATAAGGTCAAAGGATGAGAAGAGATTGGCAAAGGCAGCATATAAAAATCTTCTCTTGTTAGTGGCACAGTTGTAGATCCCCGCGGGACAGAATCAAACCATTATTGACTTCAGATCAGCCTCCTCTCAACTCTGCCCATTCCTTCTGCGGGAAAGTTATTTAAGTCAGAGCAAAGTTCCAAATTGCTTAATAGAAGAAGTGTATATATTTAGACAGCCACATCAATCAACAGTTACGGCGGTCCCAATTCTTGTGAGCGAGGTCAATGACAATGAGTTTTCAAAATTCAGTGTTATTGAAATTGGCTTGGATCTAGACTATGTGAGTTGCGCTCAGGTCTCGCTGAAATAAATGGGATGTCTAAAGTGTTTCATTGCTTTCAGTGGGAAGGAAGTTCAACTATCTTTGTGGCTCCAACAATCCAACACACTATATTTTTAATAATAATAATAATAATAATAATAATAATAATAATCTATTACTTATACCCCGCCCATCTGGCTGGGTTTCACCAGCCACTCTGGGCAGCTTCCAACAAAAGATTAAAAATACATTAAAACATCAGTCATTAAAAACTTCCCTAAACAGGGCTGCCTTCAGATGTCTTCTAAATGTCAGGTAGTTGTTTATTTCTTTGACATCTGATGGGAGGGTGTTCCACAGGGCAGGCACCACTACCGAGAAGGCCCTCTGCCTGGTTCCCTGTAACTTTGCCTCCTGCAGTGAGGGAACCGCCAGAAGGCCCTTGGAGCTGGACCTCAGTGTCCGGGCAGAACATTGGGGGTGGAAATGCTTCTTCAGGTATACTGGGCCGAGGCCGTTTAGGGCTTTAAAGGTCATCACCAACACTTTGAATTGTGCTCGGAAACGTACATTAGATTTATATCTCACCTTTCTTCTAAGATATCAAGGCCTGCATGCATAGTTCTCCATTGACTATTTTGATACAACCACTACCACATGAATTCAGACTAGGATGAGCGAGAGAGAGAGAGAGAGAGAGAGAGAGAGAGAGAGAGAGGATAGCCCAAAGTCACCCAGTGAGCTTCATTTTCGAGTGGGAATTTATAAATATATAATTTTTAGGTAAGCAGATAGCACCCGCAGGGTATTGAACCACCCGTAGACGATTGGTAGGTCTTGACAAGATCTAAGGAACTGCTAGGCTAAGCTGGCTCAGGTTGGAGTGGAAATTTGAACCTGGGTCACACACTCCTAGTCTGCCATGCTAACCACTACACTGTACAGTCATACCTTGGATCCCGAACGCTGGAACTCGGATGTTTTGGCTCCCAAATGCCACAAATCCGGAAGTGATTGTTCTGGTTTGTGAATGTTCTTTTGGAACCTGAACGTCTGACGGGGCTTCTGCGGCTTCTGATTGGCTGCGGGAGCTTCCTGCAGTCAATCAGAAGCTGTGGTTTGGTTTTTTAATGCTCTGGAAGTTGAACAGACTTCCAGAACAAATTCCATTCTACTTCCAAGGTACAACTGTACTAACTTCCAATATGGATTGGTGATATATGTAGATAGGCTGGCAAAAAATGTAGGTCTTTCAGCCAGACCTTCGGGAGCCACACGTAATCTGCCTTTCTAAAGGAAGGGTAAAATATAAGATTGATAATAATGAAAGAATACTAGTTTTCAATCTTCTCGTGAAACATTGCTGTCTAATTGCTAGTGCCTATGGAAGGGTGGGAAACCTACCCACAGGCTCAATGTGGTCCTCTGTACAGTGGTACCTTAGGTTAGAGATGCTTCACGTTACAGACTTTTCAGGTTACAGACTCTGCTAACCCAGAAATAGTACCTCGGGTTAAGAACTTTGCTTCAGGATGAGAACAGAAATTGCACGGCGGCGGCGGCGCAACAGCAGCGGGAGGCCCCATTAGCTAAAGTGGTACCTCAGGTTAAGAACAGTTTCAGGTTAAGAACGGACCTCCAGAACGAATTAAGTTCTTAACCTGAGATATGACTGTAATCAGTTCTCAGGATTCTTCCTCAGTCCCCCCACTCACTGACCTTGCTTTGAACATTCCCTGAGTGCTTTAGCCTTTCTGGAATGTGTTCTTGAACTGTGATAATGCCTCTTGCCTACCCGGATGGAGTGTGTGTGTGTGTGTGTGTGTAAACCTCTGGTTTGTGTGTGACTGTAATGCAGCCCACTGCACAAAAGTCAGAGTCACAACCATCCCCCAACCCACCACTTCTCTTGGCCTCACCCAATTTTTGCTTCTGGTCATACCCATTTGAGCCTCTGGCATGCAGTCCCCAGGTGGCTCATGATGGAATTTGGCCCTCAGGTTGAAAAAGGTTCCCCTGCTCCAGCCTACTGTGTACTCTCAGCTGCAAAGAGTGAGGCCAAAGATCTGGTAGATTATTGGCGCCATCTATGGGGGGCCATGGGGGGCCAGGACCCCCCCCCATATTTTCAAGGAGGGCCCGGGCTCTACCCCCCCTCCATTCCACTTCAGTCCTCAAAAGGACACACCAGAAGGAAGCGTCTTCGCCCTGGTGCGCCCATATGAGGATTGCCAGAGTGCCTTCCAGGAAAGAGCTCAAGCAATCTCTCTCTCTCTCTCTCTCTCTCTCTAAATTTTTATTAGTTTTTAACATATCATTTTCAACAGTAATTAAACATACTTTAACATCTTATACAATTTTTTGACTTCCATCAATCACGTCTGAAAATCTTCCAATCTATTTACTTAATATACATTTCTTACTTTCACTATTACCTTTAAAATCTCATAACTAATATCTCTATTCTTTCTCCACTTTGCAATATTTCATATCCTTACAAAACTTATTGTAGTCCTACTAGCGTAATTTGTTCATTACAGTTGCTCTTCAAATAATTCATATATTTCTTCCAATCTTCTGTAAATCTCTGGTCTCGCAGGTTTTGAATCCTTCCTGTCATTTTGTCTAATTCTGTGTAGTCCATTAATTTTGCCTGCCATTCTTCTTTTATTGGAATTTCTTCTTGCTTCCATTTCTGGGCTAACGATACGGTGGGTAGATGAGGGGTGCGGGGCCAAGTTGGCCTGGCCAGGTTGGGGGATGGTGCGTGTATGACGTCACACCATGTGATTTGTTGTTGTTGTTTATTCATTTAGTCGTGTCCGACTCTTCGTGACCCCATGGACCAGAGCACGCCAGGCACTCCTGTCTTCCACTGCCTCCCACAGTTTGGTCAAACTCATGCTGGTAGCTTCGAGAACACTGTCCAACCATCTCGTCCTCTGTCGTCCCCTTCTCCTTGTGCCCTCCATCTTTCTCAACATCAGGGTCTTTTCCAGGGAGTCTTCTCTTCTCATGAGGTGGTCAAAGTATTGGAGTCTCAGCTTCAGGATCTGTCCTTCCAGTGAGCACTCAGGGCTGATTTCCTTAAGAATAGAGAGGTTTGATCTTCTTGCAGTCCATGGGACTCTCAAGAGTCTCCTCCAGCACCATAATTCAAAGCATCAATTCTTCGGCGATCAGCCTTCTTTATGGTCCAGCTCTCACTTCGATACATCACTACTGGGAAAACCATGATGGGCCCCCACAATGTTGGTGGCAACTCGGCACACCTGTGGTAGATAGAAGGAAAGGAGCATTGTGCATGGCAAAAGTGTGATCTTACCACATTTTATTGTTTTTCAAAGTGGCCACAGTTCCACCATCCAAGCATGGGATCCAGGCTTGATATGAACTGAGCTCTCTAACAAAGTTCCAGGTGTGACCTCCAGGGTTTCTGTCAGTTCTCCCTCTCTGATCGTGGCATCCTTAAGCCCCTCAGCCAGCCTCCAAGTGAATATAGGATTGTTCTCTTAATGTTGTCATAAAAAGTCATAAATCTATTTTTAAGAACCGAAAGGCATGAAATTGATTTGATGGTTTTCATATGCATGACTTAATTAATGCTATATACTGCCTAAATTGGGAGCGGTTTGATGTGAAAAATACATCCCCCCCCCCAGGAGCTATATAAAATATACACTTACCTTCACTCCTTCAGAGTTCTGACAATAATGCGGTGATTTTCAAATGTAGCTATAAATGGTTATCTTTTTAAAAGCCCAGTGGTTTTACGAAAGCCAAATGTTCCAATCTTTCTCATTTTTATGCGAATGTATACATTTATGAACACTTTCATTTGGGGTCAGTGTCCAAAGCAGCAAAGAAATGAAGAGACTTGAAAGGATCATTTAATTTTTCTTGCCAGGGCTGTCATCTGAGTTTAAAAACAAGAAATGCCTAGATTGCTTCAGTTCTGTTGCTTGGGGATTATTTTTGTTTTCTTTGGAGAATCAAGGGGTTTTGTATTTTTAAAAGATGTAATATTTGAAAGGAAATGATCGCTTATGTATTTAAGATACTCGGGGCGGGAGGATGGCAACAAATGTTGCTGTCTTTAGACCTGAAGGTGAATATTACCAGTTTAAATTGACCCCCCAAATTCTGGATACCCCGTCCCAAGGAAGAACAAAGGGTTGCCACGCCTATTTTCCCTTGACATTGCCTCTCGGTTGCACTTATCTCCCTTTGTTAGTCTAGTACAGGCACCCCCAAACTCGGCCCTCCAGATGTTTTGGGACTACAATTCCCATCATCCCTAGATAATAGGACCAGTGGTCAGGGATGATGGGAATTGTAGTCCCAAAACATCTGGAGGGCCGAGTTTGGGTCTAGTATTTAAAACAAGGGTGCTCTCTTTTAAAGAAAAACCACCTGCGACTAATATAGAGATTTTAAAGGGAGGAAATAGTTGGGTATTTCTTATTCACATCATGAAGCCTGGGATAGAAATGTAATCAAGGTTCATTCTTATCACTTCCTCTACATATTCCACTGATATCCTCCGCTGGTAACACCATGTGCTCTGGTGCAGTCAGTAGAACTGATTAACAGCAGCTGAAGGTCTGATCCCACACACATGAAAAGACAGCAAATGACAATGAATATGTATTCTGCTAATGGCACGCCACACTGACTGTTTCACAGCAACATAGACAGCTCCATTACGTGACTGTGTTCCGTTGGGTGCTAGGAAATATAAGGGTACTTCTGGAGAACTGGCATTCATGTGCTCCCAAAAACAACCCCCCTCCCCCAAAAAAACCAGGGGACATGCCCAAATCTGTGTCAGGACATGGCAGTTCTTGTGCTGTGCCATCAGGTTAATGCAGAAGCCACTTTGCGCAGGTCATCTGAAAAGACCAACTTGGTTTGGATGGTATCTCGGCTTCAGAAGCCTAGATGTGAAAGAGCCTTTCTTCCACACATCGTCCCTCGTCTCTCCTCCCTTTGCAGCGCCCTGGAATTCAACACGGAAGTCTCCAGTTGACCGTAGTTTCCAATTTCATCCAGACCAGGAAACTATGATCACCAGCTTCAGGACAAATCAGGTTCTTAAACCAGGGTATGATGTTGGCTGAATTCCACTGAACCGCAGGAGTTAAATGAAAACCTGTTATTTATTTCATTTCCTAAATGAACACTAGAAAGTAAACATTAGATCTCATTAGATTTTCAGGGACAGACCTGGATTTACAGAAGCCATCCTGGTTTCTGATTTCATCCTGGAATGTCCCGCTTTTCCTTAGAATGTCCATATTTTCATTGGAGAAATGTTGGAGGTTATGGAGTTACGCGACCCCCGAGCCAAGAAGATAAGTAACTATACAGCCTTTAGAAAAGGCTTCCTCAACCTCGCCCCTCCAGATGTTTTTGGCCTACAACTCCCATGATCCCTAGCTAGCAGGCCCAGTGGTCAGGGATGATGGGAATTGTAGTCTCAAAACATTTGGAGGGCTGAGGTTGAGGAAGCCTGATTTAGAAGACATATGAAGGTAGCCCTGTATGGGGAAGGTTTTTTTAAATGTTTAATGTTTTATATATGTTGGAAGCTGCTCAGAGTGGCTGTCAGATAGGTGGGGTATAAATAATAAAATTATTATTGTTGTTATTATTATTATTATTGAATAGGACATCCCTATTTTCATTGGAGAAATGCTGGAGGGTAGGAGAGTTGCCTTTTAAAAATATCTGTATAACAATTTTCTATTTCTGTTTCACAACTGTATGTGTCCAATCAGTGATACCACTGATGTGCTTTCCTCACAAATGGCTAAATATATAACTAAGATAATAAGCTTAGGAAACTAGATTTTCTGGAAAGCATTGGCTCTGATCCCTAGCAAGAAAAACATTGCAGATGTGATTGCAAATAGGTGTAAATCCACAGAATGAAATTGCTATACAGATTTATTAAATCAGATTAAAGCAGCTGATATAATATAGAACACATGGCATATAAAGCTCAGGCGAAAAGA